TCTAAAATGGCTGTCTCTTCAAATTTGAACTTGTGTCCTGTTTTAAAATGGTGCTCAGCTAACGCAGTAGTATTATTCTTTTGAGCATTTGTAGGTTTACAATCATTCTTATGTTGTTCTAATCTTTTTTTTAATTTTTGTTTAGTTTGTCCTATGTAGCATTTGTCACATTCACATGGTATTTTGTAAACTAGGTTCGCTTGTTCTAGTTTATCAATCTTGTCTTTTAGTTTTGTGAATATTGAATTTATTTTAACCAAGTTATAAAAAACTAGTTTTACATTAGTATTTATGAAACATTTGTTTATTTTATTCGACAAAGGTTTGATAAACGGGAACATAATAATTTTGTTGTTATTTAGTTCTTTTTCTTTTTTCTGATTTCTATCTATTTTAAACTTACTAAACACCATTTGTATGAGACTCGTTGGGTAATTAATCAAAGTATTATGTTCGATGCCTAGGAAAAATTCTCCTAAAAGTCTTATTTCCGACTTCGTCTGAAGGTTCTTTACATTCATAGTAATGCCGAGGAATTACTAGTAATGCCTGATTTCCGGCTTTGACGGTAACATATATATATACTAAAATACTACAACTAAAGGAATACGTATTTATGTGAAGTTTCAATCCGCGTTTTTTCGCAAACGGCTGAATATATACGCCATGTTAAAAGGCATAATTAATATTCTCATGGACTACTATAAGTGGGCAAAATTTGAAAAAAATCTGATATGTGTCTCACTGACCGTCTCCTTGTTAGACAATTAATACAATCTACGTATAATTCAATTTAATTAGTTAGCGGTAAATCTATTATTTCAAAGTTTTCTATTGCATGCGGTAAAAACCCAAAAAAACTTGTTCTGGTGGCAAAGGTGTTTTTTGTAATGTTTTTTTATACGCTTTAATATAAATTGGTGCTTTTAAAAATAATGTTTTTTTCACAGATGATATTAATATATTAATAAGTGGAAAATAAAGTCGTACTTCCTCAGCTATATTGTGTAGACTATGCACCACGTTTGTAACATGTATCATGTTTGTAAAGAATAATTTTAATCTCTTTCCTGCTTTTACCATACATGGTGCTGCATCCGTTGTAAATAACAGAACTTTTTCTTCACTATTTGTAACAAAATTCTTAAAGCTAAATTTACAAGACAAGATATAGTTGCATAATTGATTTCTTCTATTGTTTTAGAACAAAATAAATGTTGTTTTGTTGTTTCATTCTCTTAAAGTTTTCCTATTAATAAATTTGCAATATATTGCCCTGGTGCATTGGTCGTTTCGTCTACAGAAATCCATATCTAATGTTCTGCTATTTCTTCATTAATGGTCTGAATGCTTGAATTATAGCAAATGTCTAAGTAATTTTTGCGTAATGTCAGTTCATATAAACGGCGACCATTATTTGCGTTTTTCTTTAATGTCTGATGTCTCCTCTGCTCTGCGTCAGGTTTTTGTAAAATTCATTTTCTTTTTAATTTGATAACTGCTGCTCACTTTCTCTTTTACATGGATCTTCAAGTTCTTCAACATGTCTTTTATGTTTCAATATATTCATATTTTTCACTAACTGCCACTTTCTTTCGCATTTTACAATTTTGCTACAGATTTTATAATAAATACTGCTTTCATTTTTCTTATCAATAACGAAATCAGATCGCCTTCAATCCAATTTTTCAAATCCCTTGTTTAAATATTGTAAATACTTTAATAAGTTCACACAATTTTCAATAGAATCAAACTAATCTGACTTCATCACTTGAATCTCAAACGTTAATTAAATTTTAAATTAAATATCTAACGCTCAGTGAGTGATTGAAATGAATGAAAACATACTTTATAATGATCTATATTTAGTGTATTTTATGTCATCGCACTTGGAATTTATTATGAAACATTAAAGTGTAAATACAGATGATATATTAAAGTATTTAGCAAAGATATTCATTGTCAGAATGAAATATGCATAAATAAAACAAATAATACATGCATTATTGTACGGCATATGTTTTGGAATGTAAATATGAAGAGCACATGCATTATGCAAAAAATGTAAAAAAAACTGGTGTGTGTATTCATGTACGCAGGTAAGAAGTTATACTTCTTTAGCGTATCAAAACGAGTATAACCTCAATAACGTCAAAAATAACTTCAAAAAAATAATTTCAATAAAGAACATCAACATCAAAAATAATTCCAACTATCCCGCGTGCCAATATAATACTTACTCTAAATTTGTCAATAAGACGATAAAATGATAAAATAAAATATATGTATATAAAGATATGTAATACAATTGATAAAGGTTTATATATATATCTATTAAAATTAATAAGTATAATTAAATTTATTTATTTATACGTGAAGAAGAAGAATGGTTTAATACAAATAAAAAATATCGTTTTGTTCGTCGATTTCTTTGTAAATTCTTCGCAGGTTGTCTAAAACGTGTCGTCGTAGGCGTCCAGCGAAAGAATCGGAAAGAATAGGTCTTTGTTGATGGACCCAGCAGGACGTGCTTAGCAACAGTTTAAAGAGAGGGGAGGCGCAATAACAACATTTCGATATTCTCAATATTCTCAAAATGATTGAGCCGCATATTTCGAATATACACTAAGAATCTATAATCTTTACAAATGGTATATAAATCGTTATCACATTGAGTGCCACACGAATTCTGAAGGAAATCCTCGTCAGGCCACGCTCCTTGTTTAGTATTGAATAAATGTACAATAAATGTAAATAACTTCAAAATATAATTTCAAATAACTTCAAAATAAAGACCAACAAATATAAAATAAATAATTAGCAATAATATTAGTTTCGGATGTGACATTTAAATTATTTAAATTTGTACCGGTAATCACAGGCTGAACCGATGGTTCGCAAAGTAAATTAGAAGTTGACGGAATACATAAAATTTCATTCGCAGACAATTAATATCCTAGTGCAATCATTTTTCTTCGCAGCCTACAACGTTCCGCATTAGTTTGCGTTTTGTTTTCCTTATTTTTCTTATTCTTCTTCCTGCGAAGTGGATATTCTTTACATTTCTCTGCATTAGTTTTAGGCATCTCGAAAACTTAAACAGAAATTTAAATGTATACTGATCCTGGTCAAAAATATCAAAATATAGATATCAGTCCACTCTAAATATAAGGGAGTAATATCAAATTATTTCGTGCGTCAACGGGCATTGCGCGCTGGCAGCACTAGTTCCTGCTCAATCATTTAAGGTCAAGCAGCGCTTGAGTACGATTAGAATTTGGATGGGTGACAGCTTGAGAATAATTTAAAATCGCTATGCCTGCGAATCGTAAATATCGACAACTTCGTGGTGTCGATTTTTTGGTCGCATCGAACTTCACTTTCCAAAACGCGCCAAAAAAAGTATAACTTCAAAAATATGTATTTTGAGCATTTCCTTATCATGAAAAGTACGTGTGCCTTGGTCTTATTGCTTTATCTGTTTTTTTTTTTTTTTTATAAAATTATGCATTTACATAAACATTCGGAGTTTATTTATCAGTTTTAAGAAAAAAGTTAAATAGTTAATGTGAAGTAATATTCGCTCTATAATAAAATACACTTTTAAGTAATTATTTATTAAAATTTATTTCTCTTATCGTAGGATTGCTAAGTCTTTAGATAATGCCTTTAACATCGTTCTTTTAGACGAATTACTAGGAAACAGTATAGTATTGGCAATCTCTATATATTATGTTCTAATAGTACGTATAATTATTATTAGAATTTTTTGAATAATGCACATTTACGCACAAATACCAAATAATATTTAATATGCTTCATTTCTTTTTTAGAGTTATGATTCAGCGGAAATAGCAACTTCATGTACCTACATCTTTTTTGCCTTAACTGCTCTTACAATGCTTTACGGTTTCTGTGTTATTGGAGATCAACTGACACAAAAGGTTTTAAGAACTTCAATAAAATAAAACTAGTAAATCGATTCTTTTTTGTAAGAAAAAAGTTTAAGATACATTCATACTTTTCATTTGTTTAGAAAATTAAATGTTTTGACAATTATTTTAAAACAATTCTTAAACAAAAATTTTTCATTAGAATAATTATTAAAAATAACTTTAATATTAAAAAAAATTATTTTATAAAAAGATGACAAAAGAAAAGAAAGAAATAAAAATAATTTTATTATACAAACATAATCTCAATATTGTTCTCAAGTTTATTAAAAAAAACGAATAAAAAATTAAAATTACTGATATTTCCTGAAGATTTACAATTCTTTTAATAATTTTTTAATTAAAAAAGTATACTTGAAAAAATTGTTTACTACTTACATTACTAAAATTCATTATTATTTTATATATATTTTGAGTATAAAAATATTATTGAAAAATCTTTATTAACCATTTCTTTAAAATAATTAAACTTTTAATTACTTTTTATTTCAGAGTCAGGACGTCCTAGATGCATACTACGAATGTAATTGGCAAGATATGTCATGTAGAACAAAAAAATCACTTCTCATATGCATGATAAGAGCAAAAACATATTTGTATTTAACTGGAGGAAAATTTTATATTTTTTCTTTGATTGGTTTTACTGATGTAAAGTTTAAAAAATTTTACTAAAAAAACTAAAAATTTAATAAAAAGCCTTATAATCTGACCTTAATTTTATGTGCAGGTTCTAAAGACGTCCATGGCGTACTTGTCTATGCTGCGTACAATTATGTAAAATAATTGAACAGACCATCACATTTACGAAAAAGCAATTGTTAAAATTTTTATTTAAATAATTTTCGAAAACATTGCTTTTGTAAATACTGTATAAGAAGCATTTCAAGAAAACTTAACCTATTGTGAAAATTGACATTTTTGATTATGCAAAAATTTTATTATTTTTTGAACTTTGGGAAAAAGAAATTTATGATTCTTTTTTAATGTTTTTTCATGTAGCTATTGACGAGATTTAAATTTTGTAAAATTTTAGTAGCTTTTCTTTTGAATGCTTATAAATTGTTTAAAAATGCATTGATTAAAATGTATTTTTTCAAATTTGTACTTTTCAGTGAATTTGTCTGAAATTTTGTGTAACAAGTTATTAAACGATTATTTATTTGATTTTAAAAATATTTTTAGACTAGTTAGACTCACTCTTATATACGAAAAAATTGTACATAATAAATTATCTGTTGTAATATCATCACAAATATCCGTTGTGTGTGGCATTTTTTACATTTACATCCTCTGCTCCATTAAACTCATCTAAAAAAATTACCAATAATATTACAAAAATATCACATAAAAAATCTAAAGTAAGTGATTCAAAGACAAAACTTGAAAAAACACATATAAGAAGCGTACTATACAAAATGAATGTAACTATTAAAATGGGCAATATTCAGTTTAAATTAAACCACAACGTATAGTAAATCTCCAAAGAAATGTTTTAAAAGCGAAATTAACAACGAAGATTTAATTCTTTTTAAAATCACTGAATTAAATGCTTCTACACAAAAATAAAGTAATATTGATTAATCTTCTATAAAGTGTTCGAGATAACCTTAGAACTTCTACCTAGCAATGTAAGAATTAAAATATGAAAAGATCATCGTCAATTGAAAGTTAATACGTATATAAATGTGACTTTGTAGAAAATATTACATTATTTACATACATATAGAAATATAAATGTCATGGATCAGATGTTGTAAATAAAAAAATTGTCGACGCTAATTTCAGATGAGCTTTGATTATTTATTATGTACAATTAAGCGCACGCTTTGATAGAAATGTGCATTATTTAAGGATCACAATTGTCAAATACACAGAAAATTTTATGTGTAATTATTAATATTTTAGAAATGGTTCACACTCAATATTTATTGTGTAATGAATTAGAAAAATAGCGATAAAAGCAGAGAATATAAATTTTGCACACTACTAGATATTCATATTGAAAAACTTATACAAACACTAATACTCTAGCAGTTTCTCGATACACATTCTCACCAAAAATTTATTTAATTGTATTGATGATATTGTGTATGCATGTTATGCTTTAATAGACCCTAATCATTAAATTTTTTTACAGAAGTAGTGTTAGTCACACACATTTATTTTATTCTATATTAACACTTTACCGACTGGTAGCAGTTCAACATCATATGCACTTTTAACTTTTCACTTTTATTTAAAATTCTGTATTATATTTAGTTATATATTAAGTCGTGGAATATGCAAACGTACGAAGCTAGCCTAATTTTGTGTAATGATAATGTTTACATTGTCGATATTGACAATAAATATGATAGCAAATCGTTATATTTAGTACCTTTTAAATCATTCTACCATGGCAAATAAGGACTTCTTCCAGATATGTAACTACCACTACCAGCATAAAAAGACTAAGAAAAGACGACAGAAGCAGTATTTCAAACCTCTAACAGATTCTAAGTTTTAAATTCAAACACGGATTTAAATATGCTAGAAAATAGATAACCGTCGAAATTAGGTCTGTCCCTTCAGTTCAAATTTTACTGAAAAAAGAGAATTAGTTCAATAAAATGATTCCAAAGATACAGTCGTACTCTGAAATATTGCAATCGCTAATACAAATATGTCAAATTTCAATGCTCTAAAAAAGTCCGTTACTGATGTGAGAATATCATTGGTGAAATAGTTGAAAGAGACAAGAAATCAGATTGTGAATTCTGATTTTATTTAATCTCAAAGAAAATAATTCCTTGCCCTCCCATGCACACACACACACATCTGCCATCTCTAAAGATTACTCGGTGATAGATATTCTTTTAAAAAATTGACACATCGGTACACCAAGTCTCTCGCTCAACCAGAACACGAAGATAGTATCCTAATCGCATTCTTCATGTTCGCGTTTCTTTCTCTTCAAAACACGAGGGCCTCTTTGTGTTTAAAAGAATAAATCAAAGTATTGTTGTCCTGTTTCTATTAGTCAGAATCGCACTAAAGCTTAACAATACAACCTAAAATCCTTAAGGAGTGAACTAAAGACTTTAACGGACAATGGAATATCCAATATGAGTAGTTATAGTTTTTATGTTCTGGAATAAGAAGTGACGTCATTCCCCCTCCCTAACCCCCCTTTAAGACTTTTTCGCCCAGTGACGTCACCTCTCCCTCTTCTGCGAGCCCTTGGCCCACGAAGATGTTATTCTTTCCCGCGAGTTTCTAGCCCACAAAGGTTTTTCTTACCTTCGCAAGCCCGTGGGAAACGAAGGAATTCTCCTCCTCTTAATGGATCCCCTGCAAACGAATGCGAGATTTTAGTAGACAGCGAAGAACGTTTCTCTCCCGCGGCAGACCGCGAACGTTTCTTCTGCGACAGCTAAATACCTTAAAGTCATGTCGAGAACGATTTTTTCTTTTAGAGGAACTACTTAAGGCGTCGCCGAGGTCGTTGTTTCGGCGGTGAAAAATTTTAAGACGTCGCAGTAATAGGAATTAAATAATCGCAACGGTTCTTAGTATAGCGGCACGCTAGTCTCAAAGACCTGCGCACAAAAACTCGCGCAGGTTTTTGTGTGTGTTAGGGGTGAGGTGTGTCTGTGTGTTTCTTGCCTGATGACTTCGTGACAATTGTGGTTCATTGTGGCAGTTATATGAATTGTTTGGAAAATTTCTCGTTCTGCAAGAATGCAGACTTCCCCATTCGTCGAATGTTGCCCGTAAATCTATGAGTTTGCTCCCAACCGTTTTTGACACCTAGTGTATAATATATTATAATATATTATCACATTTAATTTACTATTTAATTATTCGAAAAATAATACAAATTTCTGGTGGTTATATGCATGTTATGTTACACGCATGTCGGATGGATATGCGACATTGGTGTCACGCACAAAACGTAGCTCTACGTTCGGCGACATCTCCGAAGATGCAGTAAGAGCGGCTGCTCTGCGGATGGATATACCTAAAAAATTATGAGCTTTAGCAAAATATTGTAAAGAATCCTTTCATTTTAAAATTGCCCAAAATATAACAAAAAATTAATTCATCCCGAAAAACTATAATTTTTTGAAAAATTATATAAAAAATTAAATGCTTGACTTTAAGGCAAAAAAATGGTGATATTCGGATTCAGCGGATCAAAATACATAATAAAAGTTTAGCTTCATCCATTGAGCTCAAAATTTTACGAAAATATAATACCGCATTCAAATAAAATATTTTTAAATGCATTTTTCTCAAAACTATGTTTGTCAAGTCGGTGACTACTATAATTTAATAACCACTCGATGGATATTGATGAAATTTCTACAGCTTATTAATAGCACTAAAAACTAGTCTAGCACTAGAAGGATTTTCGTTTATGTGGAGAATTTCGATTTTGTAACAATTTTTTTTAACAAAAGACTCATTATTTTTTGTCGAAAATCGAAAAAATGTTAAAAGCCGCCATTTTGTTAATTTAAAAAATAAATAAAAAAGCTTCGATGAAGGACAAGATTTTTTATTAAACTAATGATTTATATTTTTTTTGAAATTCTACTTCTTTTGGCGCGTTTTGGAAAGTGAAGTTCGATGCGACCAAAAAATCGACACCACGAAGTTGTCGATATTTACGATGCGCAGGCATAGCGATTTTAAATTATTCTCAATATATTCTGAAGAATATATTATATTTAGACAAGTATTCGTAGAAATGTCCACGGTAAATCTGTATCTTTTGTTCTTTATCGTATCGGAAGATTAGCGGGTTTAGAACGATATGTTTTATACATGCATTTTACATACTTGTCGATCTTATACCTCATATTTTAGATTAACGAAAAAATTATGTATAAAGAAGTTATATATATATATTTGTATGTATAGCTAATGTTATTGAGATGCCTTAGCACGGTATCGTGTAGGGATGTATACAGTACAAATCTTAAGTACTGAGTTCTGATTGTACCAATTATTATTAAAGAAAGGCGATAGCGTGCAGTAAGAATACCTGTATCTGTGATGTTTCATTAAGAGATTATAGAATATGAATGAAATGAAAACTTTGAAACCATATCGTGCTATACAGTATAAGATGCATACAGAAGAATATAGAAATATAAATATCGTAATGAGCAGGGTATTTGTGTAACGAGATAGAAAAATATCATGCTGTATCTGAAAATATTTTAGAATTACATATAGTTGTATTTTAAATAAATCAATTATTTTTTGGGGAATATTTTATATCCAATTTTTTTCTATTTTTTTTCCTTCTTCCTATTATCGAGAAGTTTATTTTATCATTTACTGCAATATTGAGCTCTGTTTTAACATCCGTGATAAATATTGGATAACTTGTTTACCAACGTTACACGATGCAGATAGTATTGTTTAAGATTGTAATTGCTTTTATGATAACGTACGAATACTTTTTTATCGTCCGCGGTAAATGTAAGGTAGTAAACTTTCATACTAGCATAGATATTTATCGAAAATGTTCATAGTAATTCAATCGTATAATTTTCAGATGTCAGGTGCTTTTACTGTAACGTAAGACTTTCCTTTTTACTGATCGAGTTTTCAAAAATTACGAATATGCTGAATTTAATATGTTGCTTATTATATATTCGAGACATAATTTAATGGATACTTTTAAAAAGTCGTTCTCGCCCACACACACACACACACACACACACACACACACGCATACACACCATCATTACAAACACATTTTTCGTCATTATCTTGATATTCTAA